TGGGGTTGTTTCGCTCAGCTCTTCTACAATTTGGTTGTTGTTCTTTTTGTTTGTTATTTTTCATCCTACCAATTTGTTGATCAGCTCTAACATGTGTCTTTTATGGTGGGTTTTATTTAGAATCTGTTTTATGAAGAATTGTACCATCTGAAATAGGGATACCAAGAATTCTTCTTTTCCTATTTGTATCCCTTTATTCTCTTTTCTCATTGCTTTAGGTGAGACTTCAAGAACACTTTGAGTTTCTCTCCATTTAAGTTTGTATTGGCTTGTCAACTTGTATTGAAATATATAATATTTCATATATAATTTCATATGAAATTATATATATGTATATATCATTCATGGAGGGTAGGGGCAGGGTCGGGGGATGTCTGATCAGAGGATCTGGCCTGGCATCCCATAGCCATGCCTGCCTGAGATGCTCCACTGTTGGTGCCCATCTGTAGCCCAATCACATTTTTGCCTTCTTGCAACTGATCATCGGAGAAGTTCCAGGGGTTTTCCTTGGACTTCTTAGGAAACCAGTTGGGATCCCCAGAGAGAAGCCCATCATCCCTGGCTACTGCCAGCCCACCCAGGTTCATTAGTGTCCGCTGCACACAAGCCATGTTCTTTCCTTCCCCGAGATCCACAGTTTGGAAGAAGTCAGTGGTGTTAATGCCATAACGCTCAGCGGCCTGCAGGAACTGAGAGATCTGCTCCATCTGCTTGAAGGCCATTGTGGAGACCTGGATCTTCTTAACTGGGACCTGCCCCTCAGGGTATAGTGAATTGATGAGCTCACACAGCACCATGCCATCCTTGAGTCAGTTCTGGAAGTTCTCACACCCAAGCTGGGGCCAGTCACAGCCTTGCGGCACTGAGTGGTAATCCACTGGATCAGGATCTGCTCCAGGTCCCCATCATATTGCTTCTCAATCTTCTGTTGAGTCTCTCAGATCAGGCCGTATGCAGGTCCCCAGTTGGCCATTCTGACAGCTGTGGTGACAGTGAAGAACATCCAAGCTGAAGGGCAAGTGCTCATTTATGTCAGGGGCTGCAGTGCAGAGTCAATTACAACACATCTTACACTTTGGTTTAATCATCCACACTTGACCCTGATAGGCTGACATTGTAAAATTAAATAATTACTGCGTAAACTTGCAGCTTGTAGCAAGCTTCCTGTAAATTGTTTTTATTGTGTTTAGATATGTTTAGATGTCCCTTGTTTCCCTGATCTCTCCAAGACCTTTATCATGAAGGAGTGTTGGATTTTGTCAAAGGACTTTGCAGCACCTAATGAGGTTTTTATCTTTCAGTTTGTTTATATGGTAGATTACATTGACATATATCCATATATTGAACCAATCCTGTATCTCTGTGATGAAGCCTGCTTGGTCATATGGATTTTTTTCCAATTTTTTCTTGAATTTGGTTTGCCAGTATTTTATTGAGTATTTTTGTTTCAAAGTTCATGAGGGAGATTGGTCTGTAGTTCTCCTTTGTTGCATCTTTGTGTGGGTTGGGTATCAGGGTAACTGTAGCTTCATAAAAAGAGTTTGGTAATGTTCCTTCTGTTTCTATTATGTGAACAACTTGAGGAGAATTGGTAATATCCCTTCTTTGAAATTCTGCACTGAAACCATCTGGTCCTGGGGTTTTTTTGGGGGGGGGAGACTTTTAATGACTGGGGTGAAGGGGTCAGTAAAGGGGATGAGAACATGGGTGAATGGGATAGTCATAGGGGAGGGAGTGGAGAGGGTGCCTGAACTGGCCTTCCCCTGTAATCAGATTGGTGAATACCCCAACTATCATCATAGAGTCTACATCCAGTAATTGACAGAACCAAATGCAGAGATCCACAACCAAGCATCATGCTGAGCTCCAGGAATCCAAGTGAAGAGATGGAGAAGGAAATACATGAGCAAGGGTGGTCAAGGTCATGATGGAGAAATCTACAGAGGTTGCTGAGCCAAGATCATGGAAACTCATGAACTCTGGAATGACAGCTATGGAGTCAAATTAGGCCTTCAGTATGTAGGTGACAGTTGTGAAGCTTGGGCTATGGGTGGTCCCTGGCAGTAGGACCAGGATCTATCTCTGATGCATGAGCTAGCTTGTTGGAGTCCATTAACTTATGAAGGGATGCCATGCTCTGCCTTAGCACAGGAGGGAAGGGCTTGGTCTTAGCCCAATTTAATGTGCCAGACTTTGTCAATTCCCCATGGGAGCCCTTACCTTTTGGGAAGAGTGGATGGGGATGGGCTGAATGGGATGAGGGTTGGGGAGGGAGAACTTAGGTTGGAATGTAAAATGAAATTAAAAAATTAAACAACTCTGAGATACCATCTTACTCCTGTCAGAATGACTAAAATCCAAAACACCAATGATAACTTATGCTGGAGAGGATGTGGAGAAAGGGTAACACTCCCCCACTGCTGATGGGAGTGAAAACTTGTCCAGCCACTTTGGAAATCAGTATGGCGATTCCTCAGGAAAATGGGAATCAGTCTACCACAAGATCCAGCAATTCCACTCTTAGGCATATACCCAAAAGAATGGCATTCATACAACAAGGACATATGTTCAACTATGTTCATAGCAGCACTATTTGTAATAGCCAGAAACTGGAAGCAACCTAGATGGCCCTCAACTGAAGAGCTCTTTTTTCTGAACTGGTCCTTGGTTCAGGTCAGCCTCTAGAGTCTTAGCTGGCACTCTAGGTAGCTATGTGTCACCATTCCAAGCTAATATTGATGGTTGGTATTTGGAACATATATATATATTTGTTAGAGAAAATGTGGTACATTACACAATGTAGTACTACTCAGTGGTGGAGTGGGGGAAAAAACAAAAACAAAGGAATCTTGAAATTCGCAAGCAAATGGATGGAACTAGAGGAAACCATTCTGAGTGAGGTAACCCAGTCACAATAAGACAAACATGGTATCCACTCACTCATATATGGATTTTACACATAGAGCAAAGGATTACCAGCCTACAATCCATACCACTAGAGAAGCTAGGCAACAAGGTGGACTCTAAGAGGGACATACATGGTACCCTGGAAAAGAGGAAAGAGACAAGATCTCCTGAACAAATTGGGAGCATGGAGGAGAGGAGAGGGAGTTAGGAGAATGAGAAGGGGAGAAGAGGAGGGGAGAGGAGGACATAAGGGAGCAGGAAGGTTGTATAGGGGGAAGAATATAGGAGAGCAAAATAAGAGATACCATCAGAGAGGGAGCCAACATAGGTTTAAAGAGAAATCAGGCACTAGGGAAATGTCCAGAGATCTACAAGAATGACACCAATTAGCCATCTAAGCATCAGCAGAGAGGCTACCTTAAATGCCCTCTCCTGATAATGAGATTGATGACTAACTTATATGCCATCCTATAGCCTTCATCCAGCAGCTGATAGAAGTAGAAGCAGATACACACAGCTAAACACTGAACTAAACTGGAATCCAGTTGCAGAGAAGAAGGAGTAATGAGCAAAGAGGTTCAGACCAGACTGGTGAAACCCACAGAAACAGACCTGAACAAGGTGGAGCTCTTGGCCCCCAGACTGATCACTGAGAAACCAGCATGGAACTGATCCAGACTCCATAAATGTGAGTGTCAGTGAGGAGGCCTCAGAAATCTGTGGGGCCTCGTGTAGTAGATCAGTACTTATCCCTAGCATAAGAATGGACTTTGGGAGCCCATTTCACATAGAGGGATACTCCCTCAACCTAGACACCTGGAGGAGGGCCTAGGCCCTACCCCAAAGGATATGACAGACTCTGAAGACCCCCCCCCATAAAAGGCCTCACTCTCCCTGGGGAGCAGAATGGTATGGGATAGGTAGGGTGTTAGTGTGGGGCAGGGGAGGAGGGGAGCAAGAGGGAACTGGGATTGACATGTAAAATAATCTTGTTTCTAATTTAAAGAAAAAAAAAGGCCTCACTCTCCCTGGGGAGCAGAATGGTATGGGATAGGTAGGGTGTTAGTGTGGGGCAGGGGAGGAGGGGAGCAAGAGGGAACTGGGATTGACATGTAAAATAATCTTGTTTCTAATTTAAAGAAAAAGTAGAGAAAAAATTAAGTATTCCAATTTAAAAATAAGGTATAGATATTCCATCTACCAATATTCCCTCAGTGGCAAGAAGAGAGTTTGCTGTATTTGAGCACTTGGGTAATGCTTACTAAAGGAATGAAGATTATGGATGTTATCAAAATAAAATATGCTAACTGAAGGAATGATTTCTAAGACCCTTAATATCAAAAGTGACCACCATGAATCCAGTCATGAAAGCAATGACGTGATTGACAGTATTAAGACACAGTGGCTGCTCAGAGATATTTGTCAAAACCACCAAATCTATAGTTTAGCTCACAGTTTTACTTAAAATTATTGTTTTACAGACTAAATAGAAACACACATTTATTATTTCTATGTATTGTATTTCTTATATATTTAAACTTATGTATCTATATATTTAAACTATGTTTTTAAGAAAATCAAATTCTTTTTTCTTTCTTTTTTCATTCTAACTATAGTTATTATTTGTTTATTTGTTTTGCTCTTTTTTCTGAACTGGTCCTTCATTCACGTCAGCCTCTGGTGTCTTAGCTGACACTATAGATAGCTGTGTGCCACCATTCCAAGCTAATACTGATGGTTGGTATTTGGAAATATATAAAAAATGGTTTCTTTTATACATAGTATCTTGAAGCATATGCCTGAAATTTCTACTTCATAGCTGAGTTTTTCTATGCAAAATAGTCTTAGAGGATCAAATAAACTCCATGAAACAGAAACTTTGATTTGGTTACTAGCAAATCTCAAGCAGGCAGTAAGTCTGCTGACTTTGCAATGACTCACTAATTCCCACAGAAGCAACAACAAGGAAATCTATGGAGACATTTCTGATATAGCCACACACCTGTCCTGGGCATTTCTATGTCTTCAATGAATAAAGAGAGAAAAATCACTCCTCCATCAAGCAGCTGGAGCATTCTTAGGGATCTGCAGAGATGCTGAGTGCAGCAGAAGGCATCCTCCTTTTTATTGCCACTAGTGAGGCTGTGCTGGGTGTTTTAGGGAACGCATTCATTGCACTTGTGAACTGCATGGACTATGCCAGGAGCAAGAAGATCTCTAAGATTGGCTTCATTCTCACTGGCTTGGCAACTTCCAGGATTTGCCTTATGTGAATAATAACTTTTGATACATATGTAAAGTTATTCTCTATACCTACACTTACCTATGGCAACCTGTATGAATATGTCAGTTACCTATGGGTAACTATGAATCACTTGAGTGTCTGGTTTGCTACCAGCCTCAGCATCTTCTATTTCCTGAAGATAGCAAATTTTTCTCACTATGTATTTACCTGGCTGAAGAGGAGAGCTGATAGAGTTTTTATTATTCTGGTAGGATGCCTTTTTGTCTCATTGTGTATTGCTATTGCACAGATTGTGAAGATGATTAATGATATTAAAATGCAATACAGAAATGTCTCCTGGCAGGTTCACCTGGAGGTAAAGGATTTATTTATTAGCCATGGCATTTTTCAATTTGGCATTCTTTTCTTCTTTATGATAGCTGTTATTACATGTCTCCTGATAATCATTTCTCTTTGGAGACACAACAAGCAGATGCAATCGAATGTCTCAGGATTCCGAGACCTCAATACAGAAGCTCATATGAAAGCCATGAAAGTTTTAATTTCTTTTACCGTCCTCTTTATCTTGTATTTTGTAGGTTTGGTCATAGAAATGCTGTGCTTTTCGTTGCAAGAAGGAAAACAGCTATTAGTTCTCGGTGTGATAATTGTACTCATGTATCCATGCTGTCATTCATTTATTCTAATTCTAGCAAACAACCAGCTGAAGAAAGGTTCCTTGAAGTTTCTGCAGCAATTAAAGTGCTGTGACAAAGGAGAGCTCAGAGGCACGTAACACTGTGGCATGGGAATGAATGCCCTGGTATAATCTGGTGAGAAAATCCTTGAAGGCCTTTCTTGCACGCAGAGTTTGTAGTTGAAATATCAAATGCTATAATCTTCTGCAGCTGCTTTAACCATATCGCAGGGCTCTTTCTCTGGAGCAGGATTTTTATCCCACCTCAAAGTTCAACTGCTCAGTCAGTCTCTTGATGCTTTAGCTTCTTCACTCGCATTTGCCAGGGAAGAAACACTAGCCTTCAGACTCTTCTGTGTAAAGACTTTTGTGATGATTTGTCAAGTTGACTAGGTCAATGGAGGGTACACTTGTAATCCAGTTCTCGAGGCTGCAAGACACTGGCTTTGATCTGAATCTTGTGGTAAAATGACATATGCCTTCAACCCTGATCTGGAGGAGGGAAACCACACCTTTAATCTAGGCTACACTTTCAGTTGGAGCATATATAAGGACAATGGAGGAAAGAAGGGTTTGGTCTTTGCCTGCTTACCCTTGCCATATCAGCACATACATCTATTCACTGTCTTTGGAGCCTAATTCTTCTGAATTCCAACATATACAGAAGACCAGCTGAGACACCCAGCCTATGGGACTGAGCAACTACTAGATTCTTGGACTTTCCATTGACAGCTAGTCTGACTCCAGCCTATATGTCATTCCAATAAACTCCCATAAATGTTGATATACATATATATAGTGAGAGACATATATAGATATATGTAGGGAGAGGCATATATGGATATAGATATAGTTATATAGACATATAGTTATAGAGATAAATAGACATATATTTAGAGAGAGAGAGAGAGATCTTCATTCCATAAGCTCTGTGACTAGAGAACCCTGACTAATACAACTTTCACTGTGAAAATAAACATTCAAAACAAGACTGGAGGACTGATACAATTTCCCCAGGAAGACACAAAGGAAAGACATCAAGATAAACAGCTATGGTGACCCCTGACATTTACAATTTGGAGCTGAAGAACAGAAAACAGGCTTCTTGCCGGGCATTGGTGGCACATGCCTTTAATCCCAGCACTCGGGAGGCAGAGGCAGGCAGATCTCTGTGAGTTCAAGGCCAGCCTGGTCTCCAGAGCGAGTGCCAGCATGGGCTCCAAAGCCACACAGAAGAAACCCTGTCTCAAACAAACAAAAAGAAAAGAAAAGAAAAAAGAAAACAGGTTTCTGCTGTGTGAAGTTTTACTTCTCACAAACTTCCTGTTGTTTTCACCTATTATATGCCAAAGTTCTTGTTACTGGTGGGTTTTGATGTAGTAGCAACGGTTCTAATAGTGAATGCAACTCTGAAAAATAACTAGAGAAGCAAAGTCCATCTCTCTGCTGAGGAAAGGAGTCTTCACACTCTTCTGGTCCAGTCTTTTAAAAATGAGTCCATCCTTTACCAGTTAGTGTTGAGGATAAACCAACATTTTAAAAACCATATTCAAAGGACATCACATTCACACACAAAAAAACACTAACATCATGTCTAACCAAAGCACGGAAAAATATGCCAAGGGTAGAACATGTGTGAGGTTTGTGTGTACATATACACACAAAAATACATATGCACATATGTGCACAGAAACTTACACTCAATGGCATTTTGAACTCTTCATTTTCAAATTTAATTATTATATACAACCTATTATATCAGGTTAGGATATTGTCTTTGACAAACTACAGAGTGTGTCAGTTTTCTGAAGGCTGGATATTTCTGTATATAAAGACATGGTTCATTTTCTCTGGGAGGTTTCTAAATCAACATTTGTATTTCAATTAATATGTTTGGAATGTACTGAAAGATAAGAGATGATAAGAAAGAACCAAACAAAACAAATTCAAAGAAAAACAGCTCCTTGTAATGTCACTAACCAGTATCAAACAAATTTATCAAACTGGTTCATTAGAAGCTATATAGCTTATATTTTGAGGAACTATGTATGGTGTGTATCCCAGTTACATTAGAATTGTTTAATTTCTCATATTGTCAAAAAATTATATATAATTATGAGTTTTGAGGTATCTATAATAGGCAATCTTATGGGTATATAATAATATACTTATCTTGATCATATTGCGTAATTGAGCGGTTTCCTACTGTCTCAAAAATAAATAAAAAACTAGTACTGTGAAGTATGAACATATGCATTTTAGGATCATTTACTTTGAGCTGGGCATTGGTGGTGCACACCTTTAATCCCAGCACTCAGGAGGCAGAGGTAGGTGGATCTCTGTGAGTTTGAAACCAGCCTAGTATACAAGAGCTAGTTCCTGGACAGCCTCCAAAGTCACAGAGAAACGCTGTCTCAAAAAAAGAAAAAAAATAGTAGGATCATTTACTTTTTTTGGTCTTACAGATTCACAGTTTTCTTAACAGTTGGTAAGCTTTTTATACATTAACCTTATGTTGTGTGTATGGTGTGATATTTTTTCCTTTAGTTTGTGATATTTCAGAAATAGTATTGTGACTTACATAAACTATTATTATCTGCTTTATAATCCTTTTCCTATTTCTACCTTTCTATTGCAGATAATAAATAGTTTATGTAAGTCACAATACTGTACTAATTTGGTTGCATTGGTGCCTAATCCCTTTTGTACCAATAGTTAATTATTACTACAAAATAATATAGATTATTGAACCTAAAATTAAGCAATAGAAAGGTAGAAATAGGAAAAGGATTATAAACACTTGAAATACTTTATTAACCATTATTAATATGTTTCCATATCAATGTTAAGATGAATACAGATAGATGATGGATGGTGAGTCATAGAGTGGACACATTCCCCCTCTGTCCTACGGCAGGTGCCCAAGCCTCAGGTGAGTTTAGGCGCTGCTCTGAACCCCCCAACCTCCCCCATCAACCCTTGCTCGTTCTACCTGAGCCAACCCAGACAAGAGTGAACCTGCCCAGACCGGGAAGGTCCACCCTGAAGGACACACCTCACCCTTGTCCACCCACCGCCCTCTGCCATCAGGCTGCCACAAGAGGCTGAGCCTTCTGCCTGCTACCACAGAGAGGGAGAGACCCCACCTGCACTCACTGGAAGAAGGGATGGGAAGAAGACAGAGTAAGAACACACTCAACAACAGAAAAACCAATATGACGCCACCAGAATCTAGGGACTCCACCAGCAAGATCTGAAAAGCCCAACACAGAGGATGAAGAAGACATGGACCTCAAAATTATCTTAGGAAGATGATAGAGACCTTTAAAGAGGAAACAAGAAAATCCCTTAAAGAAATAGAAGAAAAAAACAAGCAAAAAATTACATGAAATAGAGGAAAAGACATACCAAAAAATTTAAGAAGTAAACAAATCTCTTAAACATTATAAAGAAAGCCAAGAAAAAAAACCAAACAAGTAAAGGAAGCACTCAAAACAGTTCAAAGCATGAAAGCTGAAATATACACAATAAAGAAAACACAGAATGAGGAGATGCTGGAAATAGAATAGCTGGATAAATGATCCGGAACTAAAGATGTGAGTTTAACCAATAGAACTCAAGAGATGGAAGAGAGAATCTCAGTTTTTGAAGACTCAATAGAGGATACACAGACATCAACCAAAGAAAATCTCAAATCCAAAAAAATCCCTAACATAAAATGTCCAGGAAATATGGGACAACGTGAAAAGGCCAAATCTAAGAACAATAGGTATAAGAAGAAGGCAAAGAAATACAGCTCAAAGGTCCAGAAAACATATTCAACAAAATCATAGAAGAAAACTTCCCCAACCTACAGAAGGATATGCCTATGAAAGTACAAGAAGCTTACAGGACACCAAATAGACTGGACCATAAAAAAACTCCCCTCAACACATAATAATCAAAACACCAATCAAAAGAGAAGAAGGGCATTTCATACACATCACAGGAAAAGTCCATCAAGATGAAGTCTCAATCCTGAACATCTTTGCCCCAAATATGAAGGCACCTACATTTGTAAAAGAAACATTACTAGCCAGGCATTGGTGGCGCACGCCTTTAATCCCAGCACTCAGGAGGCAGAGGCAGGTGGATCTCTGTGAGTTCGAGACCAGCCTGGTCTACAAGAGCTAGTTCCAGGACAGCCTCCAAAGCCATAGAGAAACACCTCATTTTTGCAAAGATGCTAAATCTATACAATGGAAGAAAGATAGCATCTTCAACTATTGATGCTGGCACAACTGGATTCAGATATGCAGAAGATTGCAGATAGATCCATAGCTGTCACCATGCACAAAACTTCAGTGCAAATGGATCAAAGATCTCAACATAAATCCAACACTGAATCTTCTAGAAGAGAAAGTGGGAGATGCCGTTGAACAAATTAGCACAGGAGACCGCTTCCTGAACATTACACCAGTAGCACAGACATTGAGATCTGCAATTAATAAATGGAACCTCCTGAAACTGAGAAGCTTCTGTAAGGCAAAGGACACAGTCAGTAAGACAAAACGACAGCCCACGGAATGGGAAAAGATCTTCACCAACCCCACATCTGACAAAGGACTAATTTCCAAAATATACAATAAATTCAAGAAGCTAGCCACTAAAACACCAAACAATGAAATTAAAAAGTGGGGTGCAGAAGCCAGGCATTGGTGGTGCACACATTTAATCCCAGCACTCAGGAGGCAGAGACAGATGGATCTCTCTGAGTTCGAGGCCAGCCTGGTCTCCAGAGCGAGTGCCAGGATAGGCTCCAAAGCTACACAGAGAAACCCTGTCTCGAAAAACCAAAAAATAAAAATAAATAAGTGGAGTGCAGAACTAAATAGAGAATTCTCAACAGAGGAATCTGAAATGGCTGAAAGATACTTATGAAAGTGCTCAAAATCCTTGACCATCAGAGAAATGCAACTCAAAACAACTCTGAGATACCATCTTACACTGGCCAGAATGGCTAAAATCAATAACACCAATGACAATCTATGCTGGAGAGGATGTGGAGAAAAAGGAACAATCCTCCATTGCTGGTAGGAGTGCAAACTTGTAAGACCACT